CTAGAAGAGCATATGAAACTGACATCCCACTACTGCTACCTAGCCTGGGACTGGCACTTCTGCTTCTGTCCTGCCTCACTGAGAATAAGTAGAATTTGGATCTCCAGTTTAGCACCATCGATTGCAAATAGGCTGGACCCATGAAAGAACTCCATGTTTGATGTAAACTCAATTTGTATTCATTCATGTTTTAAAGGGGAATTTGTGCTAGTGGATATCAGTAGAAATTAGGTGCATTAATGCTGTTGCGTGGACCCTGTCTGTGTTATGGAAAGGTAGCATATTGCTAGACTTCATTACAACATGGTAGTATCTTACACAGTTAAAATAGGTTTGGTCTTGCAGTGTAGCAAGAACCAAACCATATTTTAAGTGTTCTTGTCTCATGCTAAACTCTTGGAATTAGCCCAGTTGGAGCATAATTCTGAAGTATGGTTCAGTCCTTTCTACACTATGAGAATGAATTGGGTTTTAACCACATCAAGCGCTACTGTGTTGTAAGTAGATCCTGCAATATAGTAGCATTTCCTAGTGTCAGTGGATCCTTAGAAAACCTCAGTAACAGATATGTTTCTCCCTCTTTCTTAACTTGCTTCCTTCTGGAGGGAAACACAAAAAGGGGAAAGGTCATTATTTGAATTCCTCTGTGTAATAAATCATATTAGAAAGACTGCAACTTTTCAGATGACTTACCAGGCAAGAGTTTAAACCAGTGAGAAAAGCCATTACACCTTGTAAGAGGTAAAGTGCCATAATGGAGATACAGGCTATAATTTGTCTGGATAGTAATGCCTCTTCTATTCTTCTTCTCCCACCTGCCCCAGTAAATAAAGAAGTAGGAAGAAACATGAAGATTTTTTTCCCCCTGAATCGATTGTTGGATGCGCAAAGCCATTGAGTTTTCTAGTGACAGCTGTTGCTGTTGGAGAGATGAAAGCATTTGGCCCAAGAGTCTGTTTGTGTTTGAGCAGAGAAAGCGATTTTTGTTGCAAAAAGCTTTAAGTGAGACAGACAGAGTAAGAGAATAAGAGAGTGAGAGATAATTATCTAAATTATGTTCGGGCTATTATCGAAGACGAATATAGTTAAAATGTAATTAAATATGACTGGCTCACAGGATGCAAGCTTGGCTTTCGAATGCTAATTATCAATTACTGCATCTCCTTAGGGGAGTCAGGCAGTATGAGAGAGTTGGGGGTGTGTGGCTGAGGTGAGATGTAGAGTATTAAATAAAACACCCTAGGGCTGTAACAAAGCTCATTTCTTTTTAAAAATGAAGCTGTGGTACCAGGGGAATTCCGCAGGCCAAGCAGCTTGCACTGCTGCCTCTCAGCTGGAGGACCCTAGTGTAAGTCAGTGTATGCTGCTGGTCCCTCGTCTTTTCTTCAAGATGCAGACCTCAGCTGGCGCTAATGATTATGTCTACTGTTAAAGTGATGACCAGAGCTACCTCAGCTTGAGCAGCAAATCTAAAATGAATCAACCAGTCAGACACTGTGTGAGGGTAAAAAAAGATCAACACTTCCATAAAGTTTAAAAAACAAGGAGGAAAGACACCAAGGTGGCATGCTCAGCAGATTTTTATATCAGTTCTGGAAATGTTTGCTGCTGAGTGATTGTACTATATTAGTAACTTACCTTGGAGGAATCCTTATCCCAGCCCTCCTAGTTATAACACTGCTCTACAGCCAAAATGCTTCTGAAATAAATGTAGTCAAACTTTACTAATTCTGGGTCACTGAGAACGAAAATGA